GTCGTTGGAACGCTTGTTGTCGATGGTACTGACGTACTTGGAGACGTGGATGTACTCTTAGATGAACTTACACTGCTTGATGTTGTTGAAGTGCTGGAGCTGACAGTCGATACGCTTCTTGAAGATGTTGTTGCAAATGATGGTCGAGGAGGACGAGTAAATCGTTTGCTTGACGTTCGTAGACTGCTTGGTAGTGGAGATGTGGATGAGGAAATTGACGCAGTATATGAAACCACAACCTTTGATTCACTAACAGGAAGTTGGGGCGTTGAGAATGGAAAGCCACTTACAGTGCTAGAGGACGGCACAGTGAACTTTGACTTAGATAGTGTTGAACTTGTTGTAATTGAGATGAAAGATGATTCAGGCGTCTTGGACTGGATACTATGAAGGAAATTAAAAGTTCATTAAAGTGCACCTTCACGATTTTTTTTAATCTTTAAAATGAAAATTGAGGTTAATGGAAACGTATTTGTGAAAGAATTTTTCATTTTTATAAAAAAGCAATTTTTTGGTGAGCTTAGAAACATAGGAAAATGTCCACTTTGAGCTCTTTTTTTTTTTTTGTCTCAATACCGGGAAAGACTGGGACTGACTCTGACGTCATCGCAGGACAAGGCATTTTTTGTTATCGAAGCTTGACAGTGGATTTCTTCGCGAGTCAACTCCAAAAATCTTATTTAACATCGATTTTCATGCTCTTTCGCGAATGAAATGCCCATCAAGTGCGTTGTTGGTGGCAGCAGTAACAGGCCAGATAATTTGAAGGGAATCGACCTTCAAGTTATCAAGTTACCTTTTCGTGCGAAATACACTAAGACAGAATAAACCATACCGCTATATATTTATTGAGAAATGTCAAGCGCCCACCGTGAACTCAGTTTACTAGTAATCGGGCTGGAATACTCCGATTTCGAGTTCTGGTTTGCTCTGTGTTAGCCTCAAAACCAAGCAACATATTCTTTTGTTTCATTGATAGCCAGAGAAAACGCATGGAATTTGAAAAGAAAGACAGTGGAATTGATTTGAAATCTCACACTTTTATTCTCACAATTAGGAATGTTTTGCGCACAAATGAGGCTAACACAGAGCATTGGAGAATTCGAAACTGGATTATTTCAGCAAATTCTTTTGACCTCGGCACAAAATACACAAAACAGCCATTAGTCATTTGAGGCAAAGTTCTCTATGACCGGCAGTCTAAACTTCTCGTAGTCGAGAAAATGAAATAAACAAGTACGATAAGGCAAACACATGACTGAAAATATTCTTCCTTTCAAGCGCTTTTCTAATTTTCATGAAGTGAAACGACTGCGAATCCAGAAATGAACACTCTTTCGTTCTTGAAACATTATTAAGCGCTTTCCAAGCGATCCAGAAGCAAAGCGTAGAGTGATAAATGTTTTCAGTTCATTATGAGTGCCGGGCATCGTATTTCCCCGAGTTTGAAACCGCCGATCAAGGTCAGCGCTTGACATTTCTCTGCAAAGGAAGAATATTTTCATGTCTGTGATCGTGGTTGTTTTATATTTCATTTTCTCGAGAAATTTAGACTGCCGTGTACATAGTCTTCCGCGAGGTAAAAATTTCGAAGTGCATCAAATGACTATTTCGTATTCTGTGCCGAGGACAAGGAATTTGCTGAAATTCAAATCTACTGAGTTCACGGCAAGCGCTTGACAATTCTCAGTGATTATAAAACGGTTTGATACATTCAATCTTAGCGGTTTTATTGATTTTTGTGAGAAAAATAGACTTTATAAGGCATTTAGTCTTTTGCGACCAAACTTATGGCCTGGGATGACGTCACAAGAGTCGCGCCAGTCCCCACTCGGACAAAATAATTTGGAACACTTAATTACATGGGCTTCCCGTGAAATCAAAAAAACTTACATATGTAAAATATATGGTGTAAATTCATGTATTTATAAAAAAAAGATCTAGAGTGTTACCGGTAGAGTATCACTCATTAATTGTACATAAAAATGAATTTGTCTAATAAAAAAAAATAATAATAATAATAAAAAAATGTCTAAAATTACCGACGACTTTCCTTCAAGTGGTATATCCGGGACCTTTTCTATTGTGTTATTGTCATTCATGTTTCTAAGCAACGATTCTAAGCTTGCCTCGTGCTTCATTTCGGACCTTCGCATACCAAGTTTAAAAGGATCGTTTAGAGATGGAAATCACGGATCTAGCTACTACAAATACGCTCAAATCTCTTACAAATCCACGTGTCATTCGCGGTATAGAAAGACTAAATGATGTCGAGCGTTTTTTCGAAAGGGCATTTGTAGGGATACCGTGAATTGATCGTGAATCTTCCTATCGTGAATAAGCGAATTATATACTAACTTATACAGGATCTGCAATCGCAAAAGACTATCTAAGGAATGCCAACAGTGTTATACTGAGAAAAATGATATGATTGGAAGTATTTTAAGCGAAGAACATGAAAGACTATCGACCTGTGTTTACGCAGAATGGCTCGTCAAACATACTTACTTGTTTCACAATATTATGCTTAATGCTATAAAGTACATTGCAGCTTTTTTTATTATTTTTCATTAAAAGAAATATTTTTGCTTTAGTCTTAGTAATATGAACTTTATTATGGCTCAATATAATACAATTCTTCGATTACCACCATAAAACTATTGTCACTTCTTCGTTTGCTGATTGTGATAGCATAGGAAGCCCATGTAAACGATCGTTGATCGTCTAGTTTTGGTTTTATTTTTTCGATTCCGTCCCAACCGTTTACAACCAAACCAACACAGAAATTATTTTAACGTTCGTAAGAATTGTTTTAAAGATTAAAAAAAAATCGTGAAGGTGCACTTTAAGTTTTGATATTGGTAATAGACAGGTCGGAACAATCGTTGTAAAGTTATTTTGTCGATTTGCATTTTCCCAGTAGCTGATTTAAACAATATCGATTGCTTAAGAAAGGTTTTTTCATTTAAAAATCTCTTACCATTGACTTATTTCTTCAWGATAGGTTGAAATGTAAGTTAAAAAMCTTAGAAATGTATTTTGCACTAGTGAAATGTATTATGGAACACACTAGGTGACCTAATTATTTTGGTATCCACCAAACTATAGCTTAAACTTGAAAAAAGACTAAAACGAATAACTTTTCGTGACATTTTCTCGACTTTTTTCCYTTTGATCAATGTGACCAGACCATGAATACAACACAATATCTTTTAATGACATTGATCTAAAATATATGTTGGAAAGAAATAAGTTACACATGTGAAGAATAACGTTTTTAAGCCTTAAAAATGAACTTTGTCCGCAAAGGGTTGGATCATGACGAGTTGAAAAGTTTTTTTAAAAAGAGCAAAGTGAACAAGATATCGATCTAATATGTAATTTGCAAGTTTTCGTTCTTGACAAGCAGATAAATAAGCTCACTAAAAACCCGGTAAAATGCTAAAAGCTTCAGATATGCCGCATATCACTCGTACATGGATTGACAACTGTCACGGAGAAATCGTACTACATGGACACGCATTATATAGAGATTTGAAATAGATCTCGGATAGACGTTGACTCACAAAATCATTAGGATAAAATTTCTGTAAAAAATTGTAATCAAATTCTATTCAAGTGAAAAACTATTAGAATCAATAATATCAAATGTGACTGTCAACAAAAAAGCCAACAATTATGAATGCACTCTTAAGTATGAGCATAAAAATCCAAAACGACAGTCTTAGGGCCCGTGCGAGTTTTGTAGCGCAAAAATCGCCACTTGCTATGGAAACTAAAATTGTACCTGCAAACAGCCCTACGGTTGTACGTACAAATTGCACGTTCGAAACTCATGCAATGTTTGCACGATGGTCAGAAGTGGCGATTTTTCTCACACTCGGTATATAAGTCCTCCCAGAAATTCGTACAATGACCCAAATATAACGAAACTTGGCATGAAGAAAATTTCAAGGTAAAAAAGTTTTATTGGCACTTCTATTTTGATTTTGATTGACAAAATGACTGTCACAATCGATGTCCAAACATGGCAATAAATTTAAGAATTTTGATTTTGGTTTTAAAAATCATCTGGTTATCTTCTTCAATGTAAACAATGCACTTCGGTGAAAATTTCATCCAAATTCGTTAAATGGTTCAAAAGTTAATGATAATTAAAGAAATTTGAATTCCCCGCCAAATGTATGAAATTGCCCATATATCGTCAAAATCAGTTAATGCGGTTTACACGCCCACCAGAACATTCAAATTCAAATGGATCCAATTGATTGGTATTTTATAGAAAATTTGTAGTTTTTCTGATTTTAGAAGTTGTATATCACGTGACATATGACGTCACAGACACGAAAATACAGGTTAACTCACAGCATTTGATTCAAAATTGTTTTTTACGTCTTTTATGACTGATGGCGATATTTTTTTAAAAATAGCTCTAAATCCCTTTAAAACCATACAAAACAATGTTAAATAACACATCAGCAACACATGAGATTAAGGTAAAATGTATTTTATTTAAAAAAAAAAACAATTTTGAATCAAATGCTTTGCTTGGGTTGCCTGTGGTTAACTTGTTTGACAAATGATGTCGTATGTCAAGTGAAGCCAAACTTCTAAAATCAAAACAACTACAAATTGGCTATAATGTACCAATCGCTTGGTTTCCATCCGAAATGGATTGTTTTGATGGGCGTGTAAACCGCCATAATTTGGACAATACATTAGCATTTGTCGTGAAATTCAAATTTCTGTAATTGTCAATAACTTTTAAACCATTTAACGGATTTGGGTGGTGTTTTCACTGAAATGCATCGTTGTGGTCGTACAAAATATTTAGATAACTGGGGAATCCAAATCAAAGTTTTAGAGTTTATTGCCATATTTGGAAATCGCGTATGACGTCATCGTATGAATCAAAGTGAAAATAGAAAAACTATTATAACTTAACTACCTCGCAACTATCTTCATGCCAAGATTCGTTACATTTAAATCATTCTACGAATTTCTGTAAACCAAACGGGAGAAAAAACACCGTTTCTGATCATCCTGATCATTCTACAAAAATCGCAAGTATAAACGCGCCATTACAATACGATGATTACCTGAGAATTGTTGAAGAGCTTGAAACTGAGGTGGATGACGAAGAAGTGGTCACGGTCGATACAGTCGAAGAAGTGGAGCTGCTTACAGAGCTTGTAGTTGGACTAGAGCTCGATGACACTGTACTGGTCGTTGGTACGCTTGTTGTCGACGGTACTGACGTACTCGGAGACGTNGCTTGATGAGACCGTTGATGTTGACGATGTGACTAGAGAAGTCAAAGGAGTGCTTGATACCAATGGAGTAAATGTAGAATAGCTCCAAGTACTTACACTGCTCGAAGGCGAATAAGTAACAAGAGTTGTAGTGGGAGTAGTTATCTCGGTAGTTGAGCTTGGACTAACATAGCTCGTTTTAAGGCTTGATGAGGCCTTTGATGTTGACGATGTGACCAGAGAAGTCAAAGGAGTGCTTGATACCAATGGAGTAAATGTAGAATAGCTCCAAGTACTTACACTGCTCGAAGGCGAATAAGTAACAAGAGTTGTAGTGGGAGTAGTTATCTCGGTAGTTGAGCTTGGAGTTAAGAAACTTGTAGTCGTCAGGCTTGTGGTAGAGCTAACCCAAATTCAAACGAATTACATTAATGCCATATACTTACTCTTTCATTGTGGAGTCGGATTCATATGTCCCAAATACTTACTAAAGAATGTTTAGCCCCAACACCATGTATATTTCACTGATACTCATTAGCTTTCGTCTTGTACCAATACAAGAAGAGGGGCATACAAAAGGAACGAATCCCAATTAAAGAGACCTGAGTACTTGCAGTTGGATGCTATTTATTGCATACGAGAGCTAGCAACCTTTTTATAAAAGTATCCCTACCTTTGCATATAGTACAAGTCACCAACAAGAATACAGACCTATACTTTACCATAAAGATTAACGCTATTTCACTCTTCAAACTATCGAACAAAATGTGCCATAGCCAAGGTTGTATTTTGTGAAAAGTGCGTTCTGATCTTACATCTTTTTCGTCTTGAAAAAAAACGACGAAGCATAACTCTGGGCAGTTTTATGCAGAATAATTACAAACAATTTTTTAAAAATGTATTGTAGTTCCTGTGCTTCTTTGTGGATAAAYAAAGCCCAGGCCTACTTGCTTATTCCACATTTACTATCTAATTTTGAGAAATCCTGTTCATTTGTCGTTGTACAAGAGTTATGCTTTGCCATTTAATTTATAGAGACAGCGAAAACTTACAGTTTCAACAAGCCAAGAGCAGGTGGTGTGCACACAGACAACTATAGTGCTATTTTCTTAAATTCACCAAGGCTTACTTACAGCAGTATATATTGATTTTAGAGATATTAATTCATTTTACCTGCTTGAAAGTGAACTGCTAGTTGTTGGTGTAGATGTTGTTGGAGTGCTTGTAGTCGGACTCGACACGCTCGACGACGTCGAAGTGCTTACAGAACTTGTAGTTGGACTAGAGCTCGATGACACTGTACTGGTCGTTGGTACGCTTGTTGTCGACGGTACTGACGTACTCGGAGACGTCGATGTACTCTTAGATGAACTTACACTGCTTGATGTTGTTGGAGTGCTTGTAGTCGGACTCGACACGCTCGACGACGTCGAAGTGCTTACAGAACTTGTAGTTGGACTTGAGCTCGATGACACTGTGCTGGTTGTCGATAGGGTTGTTGTGGACGGTACTGACGAACTCGTGGATATACTCGTAGAAGAACTTACACTGCTTGATGTTGTTGGGGTGCTTGTAGTCAGACTCGACACGCTCGAAGACGTGGAAGTGCTTACAGAACTTGTAGTTGGACTTGAGCTCGATGACACTGTGCTGGTTGTCGATAGGGTTGTTGTGGACGGTACTGACGAACTCGTGGATATACTCGTAGAAGAACTTACACTGCTTGATGTTGTTGGGGTGCTTGTAGTCAGACTCGACACGCTCGAAGACGTGGAAGTGCTTACAGAACTTGTAGTTGGACTTGAGCTCGATGACACTGTGCTGGTTGTTGATAGGGTTGTTGTGGACGGTACTGACGAACTCGTAGATATACTAGTAGAAGAACTTACACTGCTCGACACACTGGACGAAATGGAACTGCTGACAGAACTTGTAGTAGAGCTGGTTGTATAAATGCTGGAGGAAATACTGCTTGTGGATGATACAGTTGATGTCGTGGAGCTGGAGATTGTGGTTGTTGATGTACATGGATCGTCGCATGTTTCGTTAAGGGGAACGCACTTCTTACCATTGTAATATGTGTTATTTGGACAAGAACATCCTTCCACTGAAGCACCTTTGCAACAACGGTCACCCAATAGTGTGCAGTTTTTCGGTTTTTGCAAACATGAATAGGGTAGTTCGTTATTCGAGATATAACCTCCAGTATTGTGACATGGTCTACAACATGGCAGCTCTGGGAAAAAGATATTTTACTGTTAATACTTATAATTTAGTTGAGTTGCATTTGATTTAAAGAGCACATGACACCTTTTTGAAATTCACTTTTATCCGAAAGGTAACGCGCTGCCAAGAACTTCTGTGAAGAAAAGATTTTGTATTTTCTGAGTTATAGGCATTTAAAAATTGAAAATGCAAATGAAGTCAACTAAGGAATTGGTCCTGAACTTTTTACATTGTTTGTGTTATGCTGTTCCTTTTGGAAGAGCTTAAATCATCAATCACAGTAATAATTGAGAGCTGCAAATGTTTTTTTTTTTTCAATAAAACAAAAAGAATAACGTCCTCTTTCATCATTTTGTATATTAAATCATTCCTTAGTAGACGTCAATTCATTTGTGCATTTTCTAAGTTTCAATTGCCCATAACTTAGAAAATACAATTCAAAATCAATTTCTTTCTTCACATATGTACTAAGCACCATTTTATTTCCCTTGTGGATGAGAATAAATTTCTAATGGTCATGTGCACTTGAACTTACCGCAAAATCCTTCACGTCGCCATGTTATTGATATACCGAAGCGATTACAGGCTCGAACGTATGCAGCAATAGCCGAGCAGAAGCAAGCACAATCWCCTCCCTCGCTACATAAGCACGTTTCATATTSACAAGCCTTGATGTATTTTTCTGGATCGACGGCATCGTGACACTTAGTAAAATTGGGATTATTTCGGATTTCACTACAACCTGGAAAAGAAAACGTTTTTTGGTTAAAATGTTTAGCTTTTTAGCAGAAGAGCGAAAAATTGTCTTTTCTTTGAATGTCAAAACAACACTAATGTTAGTGGGATTCAACGATATCCCAAGTGACATAGTTTTGGATTGCTCTTGCTATAAAATCAATGTGTCTAGGGAAAAATAGCCGGTAGACAAAATTATAAAACGACTGATAAATTATCATTGACATCCTAACACAGGTTTTGTTGGTTTTAAAAGGAAATAATTAACCTTGCCAAGCATCTATACAAATAATGTGACCATYYCTCCTGAACTGTCCACACTTAAAGAAGCCTTTCATGAAAAAATACCTTTCACAGCCCAAGGACGTCTGTCTTTCTTAACTTCACAAGGATCGATTTCTTTGGCGTTTTCGCATTGGTCACTAACTCTCCATGAGTCAGCGAGCATTTTTATTGAGGTTGCCATAATTCCTGTTGACATTTTTGTATCATCCGAASTTTGACCATTGAAATTACCACAAAGTCCCTCCGTCTGACCTCTCTTTGCAGGGTTTGCCATGATGTAAACACGAGTTCCCATATCAAATCGTACCTATTATAAATCGTAGGTAAAAATTACCGTTACAGATTACCATTTAGTATCCCCATGGATTTCAATTCTTGTGGAAGGAATTGTTGAACAATATTGTTCTTAATTGGYTGCTGATAAATTTAATACCTTTTTTCTTTTACTTTATTAAATGGGAAATGATGGTATAGGAAACTCAGCTTGCATCACTTCATTTATGCTCTCCGAAAAAAAATGCACTTCGGCTTTGAAATTCCCGAAATCCTAACTAGTCTATATCATAGATTAGTGGTGGTATTTTATCATTGAATCAAAATCAAAAGAACTCGACAAGTCAAGCAAATAATCCATTGACCGTTCCTAGAGGTCTCTTAAAATGTATCAAAGCCAGACATTTGCTTAGCTTGCAATAATAGTTAGCCAGTGTAAAAAAAGGAATTCGTCTCAATAGTCTCCTTCACAGTTCCCAGCGCCTTCTTGAAAGGTAGCCGTGCCTAGCCTTTACATCGAAGCGAGACAACCGTTGAGCGTGCAATAATAGATACCTGTGAATAATTGTCTGTACGTGTGAAAGAAGGTTTCTATCATTGCACGCTCAACGGTCGTCTCACTTCGATGCAAAGGCACGGCTACCTTTCAAGATGGCTCTGGGAGCTGTGAAGAAGACTATTACATATAAAGGCTTGCCTATTTTTTTAAAATGGCGCTGTATGCTGTAAAAATCAGCAGTGAATTACCTCGTATTTTACATATCTTGGATTCATTCTGTCGACGATTCGTACGATAAGGAACAAACCAGCAGAGAATATCTCCAGATTGTCGTACGAACCTTGAGTAACTGGCTTACAAGGAGGTGGGTAATCACCAGGTTTGTAAGGAGTTACTTGGCCATTTTTCTTTATTTCAAAGTGTTTCTGCATGAGAACCACCTCTATGTTATCTTTAGGCAAGGAGACGGTAACTTCTTTGCACATCTGACGTTCAAGGGAATCGACACACTTCTTTTTCTTGAATGACACCACAAGGTCCTTATCACGTACAAGATAGTAACTGGACAGAAATAAATAAGAAGTTATTTTGTTTTATGAGAGAAAAGACATTTAATATTTGTCATTATCTATCCTATTGATTACCGTTGGATGTTGTTGGATAAGCTAATATTAGATAAGCCATATTAGATATACCTACATAAAATTATCGATTCTGATTGGCTGACGAACCGTGAATCTTTTCTTGATTCAACCAGTTAATTAATACCACGCGTGCTATTTTGAATTGCACGAATCTATCCCAGAAATCTTCGCGAATGATCGCATCAAAAACATAAAATGAGAATTTTCGAGTTTCTTACCTGCACCCCAAGTTCTCGAAATTGTACATAAGCCCGTCAAAGGTTTCAATATGACCTTGTCCAAAGGCAGAGCATTCATATTCTGGTTGTGCTAAAATTCCTGGTGTTTGAACCCAATTCCGTTTGCCATCGCAGCGTCTAACAAGTGAAAATAACAATGATATCTGTAGTTTCAATAATTGCTATCTATATATAAATAAATGATGAGCACGCAGTGAATTGCTGGTTCATTTTATGTTTGTTCCTCCATTGCCATGAGCAGGACGGATTTAGGGGGAACTGAAGGGCAAATCATGAATGAGAATACACGATTACACAGAGTTTRTCCAGCTTTTTGCTAGCGGTTTGTTGAAACCGCCGGAGAGCAAACGTGCAGTCTCTGGGATTTAGATTGCAAAATACCTTGTTTTCAAGCGATATTTTGAAAAGCGCCTACATCTCGGAAATCATTATAATTTTATATATATTTAMTATTGCTTACTTTGAGCAATCTGTTGGCGAAACTTCACCCTTGTCATAGAATTTGTTGTTGTGTGTACATTGGCATTCGTCTTCAGCGACACATGAGCCGTTTTCATGCATGTAAGTTCCTTCTGGACAGAAACATCCAGGCTCACAGTTGCTTGGGTCTTTGAGGTTTTTACACGTTTTACCGCATTTGCTGTAGACAAGTCCTTTTGCTTGGCACCTTTCTAAAATTCGAGATATAATAATTGCATACGATATCAAGTTTAAACAAAGAAATATACTTCAAGACTGATCTTAAGTTACAAAAACAGCATCTAATCTCTTCATTTTTGTTTTGTTTTGTTCTTTATGTATTAAAGGAAACTTATCTTCAATAATTTTTAGAAGTATGACTTGCTCGATACATGAAAACCCTACGGAGGCAATTTTGCTTATCTAAAACAAAAACTCTAGCTTTCCAGGCTTTCTACTGTTATTGAATTGAATTTGAAATTCTATTGCTRAAATCCCCTCGTTCGAGAAAATTTTTTAATATTTTTTGCTTCAATKTCCTGATCAAATTGAATGTTTCAAGAAATGTTCTGGATTTCTTGGTAATTACCTTAGACATTTTGTTTCTTATGATGTGACATATCAGTTGGAAAGCAAGAGCCTTTAAAAATATGCAGTTGCCGCTTTTCCCTCAATGGTTATGATAATCCGCCCTAAATATTGGAAGTCACGTACATACTAGCTATATAATATAATCAAATATAGTCACATTCCTTACCAACGCAGTTGTAGGTTGTGCACTGAAACAATCCACCCTCGCAGGTACTGAAGGCAAGAGGTGAACTCTTATTAGTACTTATAAGTTATAGTGTTCAATGTAAAGCCATCTGATTGTACGATGCTCTATAAAGGGACAGTGYTCAAMCGGCATTCAATGCGGTCGTGTTTCAAACTTTCCAAATATGGAAAATGAGATGACAAATGTTTTTTATCCTTCAGTTCTAAGGTCGAAACTTACAATATYATGTACTTATTGACTGAGTGGGAGGGCCATACGGGAAAATGTTTGGCTCGAGGTTATGCTTGGTCTGTTCAATGAGAGCCAAATATTTTCCCGTACGGCCCGACCTAACTCAGTCAATAAGTATTTTATCATATGACAGCGTTTTTTAATGTAAAAAAAAAATAATTAAAAGCGCGCGGAACTTCAAGCCGGGAAAATACGGGTTTGTACGGACCTGTCGCGAAAAGGCGTACGGACCCCATCACGTGACCGTTTTCCAAAGGTTTCAGTGAGAGCGCRCGTAGGGCCGAAATACGGGTCATATGATAAAGCTGTTTAACACAAAGGGATAATGAAGAGTGAAGGTTTGCTTATGTATTACGATGTATTTTTATCTTGAAACATAAACAAAAGCTCGTAAGGATTGCCAGTTAACCACAGCCCTCTAATGTTTAAGGTCATACTTTAGCAACGGCATGATGGTAAATGTAGTCCATCTTATCAACGTTAAAATAATCAACAAAATAAATACTACCATTGTTTTAAAACAAACACTTAAAAACGATATAAAAAGTAACAAAAACTCCATAATGTTGTTTTAGGGCGTCGATTAGACCTTGTTTTGCAAGTTTAAAGTCTCCGTAGACAACAATAGACCCCTTGCAGTTCGTGGGAATGCAGTTCCAACTGGAGGACAAATGAATAGATTCTAGTTCCCAAGAGGGCAAAAATCTTTTGTTTTGTCCTCCAGATGAAGCTGCCTTGACGTCACATGCAAGGGGTCTATAAAATGATTTTTTTTCGTACAATCTTTATCGTAACTAACCAGGTATTGCATCCCTCTTTTCGTGTCTGTCCATAAGTGTATACCACCTTGTTGTGATAACAGGGACAGTCTTTCTTTGCTACGCATTTGTTTTCGTCGTTAAGGTAGTGTCCTGGTTTGGTACAGTAGCACCCTTCGACGCAGCCACGGCTGAAAACAGWCAAATGTGTAATTTAGCTAGTAAAAGACACTTAACTAAACAGATGKCGTCTTTTTTAATTAAGATATCATGGTTTGATAAAAGTGCCAAGATGGCAGATGTCTAAATGKCGAGGTTTCGTTGCGAAATTAACGTTTTCCGAGAATTATTTGCAAGCACTGAATACTGAAGAATAACACCAGAGCGTGACACTAGAGACCTTTCTGGGAAATAGTTAACGCTTGTTGTTTGCCAGACAGCCATAAACAGAACAGCTTTTATTTGTTCTTTTGTCAATATCGCCGAACAAGAGGACAACAAAGATGAATTGGAATTTTTTCGCGTAAATAAGAGCCGGCGTTTGGTCCTATCTTTAGTATAACCAAGCTTAGTAAACTAAGTGAATGTTTGTATTACCTGCTACACGTTTGAGTAAGGTTGGATAAATCATTACAGSTCATGGGGCATTTAATGATTTTAGTTARAGGATCTTTGTTGCAAAGGGATAGCTCCTGATCTGCTGCRCAGGTTAACTCTAAAGAAAGACAAARCGTTTAGTTGATTCGTGTATACATATTAGAATTTTAGTGTTTTGGTGTATATAGATATATACATTTGTTGAGAAATCACTTAAAAATTAATGCTTTAATAAAGACACTTACGGCTTGAACAGTCGGGTATTGCAGTCCTCCAGTTTTTAAGCGAGATGCGCTTTTCAGCACAAGCCCTCGCATAAGCTGCTGCAGCATTACAAAGACAACTTTTGCATCTGCATCCATCCTCGAGACACTTCTTGTAATAATCATTTGGCGGAATAAAACGATGACAATGCTTGAAGATACCATCTGCTTTCTTGATGTGACTACAGCGATCTTCTGCATACTTCTTATTCACAGAGTAGAAGTCACAAGGACTTGCGTACATGGAAATCTTACTCCAATCATCTCCACCATGACAGTCTTGCGTAGGTTTGGTAGATATCCAGTCATTTGAGAAGGCATTCGCCGAAGTTTCTATATCACCGCCGCGTTTTTCGAAATCATCCCCAGGCTGGTGATTAAASGTACCACAAAGACCGCAGGTCTGTTTTTCTAGGCTTGGGTCAACAGTAAGGTACGCATTAAAACCTGTCCATGTAAGAACGAAGCCAACGGCTCCGTGGACCTGCACGGTGTACTTTCCCCCAACGAATTCGACGTCAACGTCTTTGGAATAATAATGCTTTACTTCGCCACTGTCGACTGCGAGGGTAGGTAAACGRAAGTCTCCATTAGCCTTACTTCCAAGTGTGATCAAAAGATTGTCGAGCTTAACTGTCAGCTGCCGGCTGCCGGCTGTGTTTTTCATGGTAATGGAGAACTTCTTTTTTGTATTGTTAGGATACTTGCAATGCTCGGACAAAACGTATTCACACTTTCCATGCATATCATACTGTTGGCCATCAAACGTTATAATGCGAGGGTCCCCAAGAATAGAGCAAGTTGCTGAAAAACGAAAAGGTCTTGATGATGACTTATTACTAACGGATATAACATTTGGATGTTCAGTGTCCTACCTTTGCAAGGAATAGCTGTACATTTCCATGTTCCACCATTACAGATACTTGTGAGAAAATAAAAAAAAACATAACGTAAATAAAGGGAATAGAACGAATGGATTAAAGGAATCWCGGAAGAAGTGCAGTGCCCTGAAGTGTAGTGTTGTGTAGTGAATATATATATCASCTAATGATGAATTCTTTGATGGGATTTACTACTGCCTTAATTCACATTTCCGTTACTGTGCAAAACCCAACTAGTCAAAACACTGTTGGGTTCAAAGAGTTGACATCATCGAACCTTACGATCGAAAAGGATCATGGGAGGACAAGACATGAGCACAATATCAAGACAACACTATGATAAGATGGTCTCCTATAATGAGAATAAGATAAAAACGAACAAAAGAAAAACGCCAGGAAGCCAATCTTACCATTGCTCACAGTCGGAGGTACGATTACTTTTATTTTCGTATGGGATGTTATTATGCCAACATGAGCAATCTTCTTTCTTGACACATTTTCCATTATTATTATACATTCCCTTGGGACAATGGCAGCCGTCGACACATTTGGATGCACATTTGGAAGGATCACTGTTAACATTAGCACAATCCAGTGGACAAGCGGTACCRCATTCATCGTAAGTTTTTCCAACGGGACACGTGACCGCTAAAAAAMAMAAMAAAAAAATAAGAAGAAGAAGAAGACCATTTTTTTACAAAATAATCGGTTATCGCTGCTTTTTCTTATGTCCTGTAATGACATTTGCTATTGAAAAGTTGGGGCGGTTATCACAAACCCTTCGAAACCTGCTTTRTGATTTCTGCGTTCGTRCAGGATCTCCATTGTTAGGTTTCATTATTGTTTGGAAGAKCGTCTATTGTTTTCTAAACCAATCATGAGATTCGYTACTAATAATTCCYAGTTGGGGAAGTTGGAGAAATAATTCTATGACACGTTTTATTATACTCACGACAAAGTCCAGGAGATCTCCACTTTACTGTTTCATTATGATTCCATGCGCATGCGCGAGAGTACCATGCCAGCGAATTGCATGCACATTCATAACCTGGTCTTGCTGTGGTGTTACAAGCACAGACATCTGCAATACACATCAGTCGGAATTCCAGCGGACGAAGCTTTGCGCGGCAGTTAGCAAATGCGCTGTTGGTTTCGAAAACTGAACATAATTGAGTAGCTCGTTTCAAAGCAGCATTGTAATCTTCCCCGGGAAGAGTATAACATGTTTTGGGCTTGGCTGGCTCCAGAGAACATTTAGAATCCTCTTGGAAACTTTTTCCAAACTCATTTATGTCCTTTCTGCTGTATATTTTACCGCCCAATCCTACCAAATCGTTTGTAGAGTTGCCATCATAGTTACCGCAGAGACCGCTAACAGGAACACTGCCGAGTGATGATGCTTTGTACGAGTCAGGAAGTTTAATCATTAAATTTTCTTCTCCATCAAAATATACAAAGACATCGTCATGCCTTTGGATGATAATAAACCTTCCCACCTGTGAAAAGAATTAAAAACACTCCAAATCAGATACAAGTATCGGGAACAAGTTTGTATTTTTAAAACAGAGGAGGGTTTGGGGTTAATTAGGATATTCAATAATATTATTAGAGAAGCAGGCTTCAATGACCAAAAAAGAATGAATGACAATTTCACTACTGCAATTAACGCCTCTTCGCTTCTCGTTTTTCATACGTTATAAAAACGCAGTGGTAGCTACAAGACGCAATCGCAATCGCAAGTTCACATAATATTCCACTTTCGCACCAGTCCGATGTGGTAATGCTCCTGAATTCTATACGGCGGCCATTTTGGTAGAAGCTAGTTAAGAGATAGATATGAAAAAGATGGATGGAAATAAAACTGTAGATAACAGTACAGGGTGCACTTTTAGCCAATGGATAAGGATTTATTCTGTTGATAGCGTAATATCCAACCATCGTACAGCCTGCATTTCGTGGTAAATAAGAGGGTCTCGGATCGCAAGGCCACGTAGGCCGTCCAAAAATGTTTGATCATAACGAGACTTTGATGTCTTCATTAATTCACATTAATCCATATTAAAGATAATGTCCCATTTGTGAATTTGCTCTCTACCAACATGGCCGCCGTAACGTCGAATTAGTCCATTGACATGAAATTCTTAAACGAATAGTTTTCTCTCGCTGAAATATAATTAACTTTCTTACCTCCCTGATAAAAGGAGCTTGTTCTCTGTATGGTACTTCTACAACTTTATTATTGATCTTCACTATATGTCTGCCTTGTTGTTTTGATAACAAAATCGTTCGGCCATCTGCGGTCACAACCTTGACTTGTTTACTGCAAGGCTTATTTATGTCGCAATTAGGATCGCTGATAAGAGTGACTTGGAAGGAGCTTTGAGCATCGTCAAAGTTCAGCATTCTATACGAGCATAAACCATAGAAAGCGTACTCAGTGTGGTCAAAGGTGCTAAAGTGAGCACGTCCATGAGCAACACACAAGCCGGGCTCTAATATATAAAAAAAAAATGATAAATTTAATAGAATTAATAACTGACAACGTAGCTTGTAGTACAAAAACCGTACATTTCCCAAGCAGCTTGATTTCTCTTGAATCAATTCACCTCATTTTCATTTTCTGTATTTCAATCAATTTTTGAGTCTAATAAATTGTAATTGTCGAATAAAATGAGAACAAACCTTAAAACATTACAAGTGCTATTGTTTGTTTGTTTGTTTGTTTGTTTTGAAATAAACAAGGACTAACAAAAACAATCTGATTCATTGAATACAAAAGTACAGAAAGATTACCACACAACAGGAGGAAGTTCAAATATTCAGATTTTTTATGATTTTAACTTTCATGTTATTAGCCAAATCCATCGGGAATTCTATTAAACATTACATACCATTGGGTGTTGCAGGAAGATGTGTAGGTGGGGGAGGAGGTGTAGTTGCCGGTAAATCTGTTAAAGCAAAAACATTTGGTACATTAATTGTACGCTACACTATACTAAAATATCTGTAGTATCTCCAAATAGCAGTTAACAATAGTTTTAAGGCGTTGTGAGATACCAAAAACCTGCAAAAACATTAAAAATTACATGAACAATTTGAGTATCCTCACCTATGCAGCCTTTACGACAATCGAGTTCAGTACTAAATTTGTTTTCGTTCCCGCCACAACCGCTAAAGTCAAACTTTTTGCAGCTTGCGCCTTTGGCGTCATGATAGTACATTACTTTAGGTAGGTAGTCACTAGAGTAGAGGAAGTTTCGCGGTCTCCACAATTGCTCGCAGGTTCGGCTCGTTTCGTTGGAAACTATCGCAAACAAAAACATACAATTTAAAATAAACAAGTAATAAGATACAACTAAACACAGATGAAAAGATTACTCGATGAAAAATAGAGTCATTATTGTCGTGATGGTGTAATTAAAATGAGGCTGTTTAGGGTGATTAAGATAAATTAGACCATTTCTCCTTGTTATTTTTTTAAGCAAATGAATGAATATATTATCAATTAGAAACATTAAAAAAATGACTTTCGTTCGTGCAATCACTGTTCTGCCCCGACAACCTTGCTTGAAATACAGGTTTATCCTATAATTATCTATGAAATACTTGCATTTTCACTCTCAAAAAGTTGTTGTTTTTTAAACAGTTGCCATTAAAACATAACATTTGTGGTATAAAATTCGTATATAGATACTCAGGAGTTGAATAAAAGTTATTGTCAAACATAATCTACTTTCATAACGAGTGAGATCTTTTCAACAGGATAATACCAGATCCGAGTCTCCGTTCACCCATGAACTATCCTTCTATATATATATCATATATATATATCTAAGAAACTGTATACCTACCACAATACTTTTCGCAAAACGCCTCTGATAGTATCTCGGTTGGTGAAGAACACTGACTATCAAGATATTTCAGAAATCCAATGCAGGTTTTTGTAGAATAATCATTTCCTGTCCAGTCTAAACTGTCGATGTTGGCAGCTTTACCTAAGAGGTGTGCCAATATATTCTTACTGTAACCAGTGGACACCGCCATGGCGCATTTGGCTTTGACTGAAAAAAAAAATATTGTATAATCGTTTAACGTCGGAAGCTGATAGAAGAATTGTAAGTGTAACAGGAGTCTATCAACTTATTTTGTTGAACTCAGTTCTAATTTTCGCTACACGTTGAAGCAACTTGCAAAGCTATTGCACAGTGTATTACTCTTACTAGAGCATGCGAAAATTCTCATTTCGAAAGTTCGCCATCTTGAATTTGCCTCCTAGCTTAACTCGTCCAAAGTTGCTGGATAAAACTGCACAGTGTAAACAGGGCTATTATTTTCTGTGCGATTTGTGTAGCAAGATCGTTGCAAGACAAGTTGCTGAAAAAATTGCACAGTGAAACAGCTCCTTAACATGAATAAACATATCTACAAACAATGACACAGATGTCCCAACTATTCATTCACAAACCATTAAAATTAATTAGGAAAAAGCTTTAGTCGCAACAAAGCAATTTCATAGGATATGCAATTCACATATAAACCTATTTATATACACAATAGCCTCCGTACCTGAGCATCCGGAACCCGAATAGCCAGGGTAACATACGGTCTGAAACTTAAAATTCGAAGTATTCCGTATACATTCCCCTCGGTTTTGAGGATCTGGGTCACAATTGGCTGAAACGACAAATTAATCCAACCAAATTAATAAATATTATTGGGTATTAATGGAATTTTAGATGAGATAATAAGGAAACTTGAAACAATCACGTTGAATAAGTAGATACTATAAAAAAAACTTACAAACGTTACAAGTTGCTCCATGGTAACCAGGTTGGCAAGAACAAGTATTAGGATTTGAGCAGACTCCACCGTGCTCACATGGCGGTATACACGAGGCTGTAAATAAAGAATGCAGCTTTTAGTTTGCTTACATGAAATCTGCTAATCTCTCCCTTGCTTCGAGGGTTTTGCCGGTTTTTCCTCCCTCAATTCAGCACCCGTGCTGCCATGAAGGACRATTAGCAACCAACACCTTTCCTTTTCCTTTTCCTTTCTTCCTCAATCAAAAAGTCCAAATAAGGAAACATGACATATTGATAAATGTTTACTTGCTGTTTTATACCAACCCTACCCCCGGTAATACCACCCCAATTCTGACTTTGTGGTAATTAATACTTCTTAATCATTCTTCATCGAGTCTACTTACCAAACTCGCAATACTTTCCAAAATATCCAGGTGGACATGCGCAAGTATTTCTCTGTCGGTCTTTACAAGTACCACCATTTTTGCATGGGGTGGTACAGATAGCTAAAATAAGGACATGTTCATCTTTAGCTAATTGTGGGATGGTGAAAATAATGATAATCAGGAGGGTCCCTTCGTGTAAAGCTCTCGCTTTGACGTCATATCATAGCAATTTATTATTTCAGATAAAAAAGATATACACTTATGGATAAACTGATGATACGTCGATGATGATGATGACAATGAATATGATAAACAAATGAGTTGATAGTGCAACCGCTAACCATACAGTGTACTCAATTAGTATCAAAACGCTTGATGACCACGATAAGTTGTTTAATTAAGTCCCGTTTTCTCGAATTTGACTCATCAAAGAAAGGAAATCTGGCACGATTGTTGGATACATGTAGAAAGGTAAATTCTGATGTCCGTCAGACCAATGATTGTCGCTCAGTCCTATATGCCTCCCATTAACTTCCCCACCCCTCCCCCCTTGGTATCCATACTTTATATATATCAACAATGAATTACAAGATGGTTTCATATTCCTTGAATCTATTTTAGAGAAAACAAAGGCAAGAGCTGTACCTATCTCACAGATACTTCCGGTATAACCAGAGCGGCAGACACATACACCTTGATTACAATCACCATTTACACATTTAGGAATACACATTTCTGAAAAAGAAATAAATCTCGTCAGTTATTGATAATTCACTCATTTAACTATTATCATTCATCCATTCACTATTATCATTCATCCATTCACTATTATTATTCTTCCATTCGTTCTTCTATTTATCTATTTATTAATTTATTCAAAACCTAATAACTAAGCCATAAAAAAATAACAATTTAAAAATGTTCGGGTACTTTCTCTAGGAATTATTGGGCTGCCTGTTGCGTCGATAGCTTTGAATTCATGGCTGCAAACAAAGAAGCGAAGAGTAGATATTCTAAACAAAACTTACTATTTTGGCAAGCCGATCCTGAGTAGCCCTCATCACACACACATGTACTATTGACACATTTGCCATGTTGTCCACAGTCAAATATGCAGCCGCTTCTTTTCTCAATTGTGGTTGTTCGTTTAGCTGTCTCTGAGAAGCCACAAGCGTCTTTGCATTCCCTCTTACTATTGAAAACGCCTCGTGCTTGGTTGTCGTCTGAGTCAAAACTCGTGGTTCGAACACAAACACCAAAACGTTTCCCAGTTGACTTGCTTTTGACCACCAGCTTATGGTAGTATCTGTCGTTTTTAGGCAGGAAGATTTCACAGGCCCTTTTGGATTCTTCGGAGTCTGAATTTAGGAAATGATGAAATAAAAGTAAGACAAGTTAAAGATAATGCCTCTTATTATAAATCTGGACTCACGGTGTTATTACTACCGATTTTAGCTTTTATCGCCGATGTGCGTTTATAAAACCAGCTATTTTGGTAATAGAAATGATTTGGGATAGATATAAATTCATTGAGAATTGAAATCGTTGAATTCGTTGTGGAGTTTGACCTTACAACTATTATTGATATCAATAAATCACACTTTAGGCATTTGTTGTTTTGCTGTCCAACACTGCAACCCAACTCCGATGAAAGAATATAAACAAAAAAAAACGGGTATTGCGGTAACGGGAATAGAGATATTGGACCATAATTGACATAATTTAGCAACAATAACCCTTCTCCCCCTTGACTTACCACTGCAGGCGGACAAGCATTGCTGATGTGATGCTTTCTTACTTATATCGCCACCATCTGCCTGTTCCTGGATTAAATCCAGAAAATGGCTTTGGCATTCACCGTCCAGTGTATCCGCCAATTCCAGTAGGGCTTCAAAACGCTTGAAAACTCCCACAGACGGCCGGGACTCCTGGAAACATTTTGGCCCTAGAACAATAACAAGATAGATTCTAAGTCGTATCAAAAGAAATGGCTCCATTTATAAATCAAAAAATAATAATGATAATGTTAATTTCATTCACTACTGACAATGTATCTACTGGTATGATTCTCTGCTGTTGTTGTTCTTGTGTACTGTTTTCTCTTTATGAGGAGTATTCTCATTCAGAAATCTTACCTTCTGAGCGGGTTGTTAATTTTTTCTCAGCGGGAAAAAAATCCTCAACTAAAACGAAACAAAGGCATTTTACACAAGTAATAGTCACAACTTGAAAATACATGTATCGCTTTTTAACCAATCAATCAATCAACCGACTAACCAATCAATCAACTAAACCAATCAATCAATCATCCAACCTATCAATCAACCAATCACTCAACCGATCAATCAACTAAACCAATCAATCAATCATCCAACCTATCAATCAACCAATCACTCAACCGATCAATCAAC